TCCCCTGAAGGAGCATAGGCCACTCACCAGCATTCTCCATTCAACTCTGTGCTGGGCAATCCTTTCCAGTTGCTGTTCATCCCATCCATGCCTGCTTCCGATTCCCGACGCAGTGTGTTCTTTGATCTTCTTTTCCATTTCCCTTCAGGATTCCAAGTTAGCGTTTACCTCATGGTGCAGTTTGATGATTTCCGCAATGTATGTCCTATCCGCTTCCAGAGTCTTTCTCTAAATTCCTCTTCAACTTGAAGCTGGTTTGTTCTTTCCCATAGTGGGATGTTGCTGATGGTACCCAGTCAACAGACATTCAGTATCTTAATAAATAATTGGACATTTGGATGATGGTTGTGGTAGTTCTCCAAGTTTCAGCTACGTATAGTAGAACTATCTTGACATTCGTATTGAAGATTCTCACTTTGATATTGGTTGAAAGTTGTTTTGAGTTCCATATGTCCTTCAACTGAAGGAATGCTGTCCTTGTGTCGTCAACCCTCGCCTTTACGTCTGCATCCGATCCTCCTTGTTCATCGATTATGCTTCCCAGATATGTGAAAGATTCCACATCTTCCAGAGCTTCTCCATCAAATGTGATTGGGTTGATGTTATCCGTAATGTGTTTAAGAATCATGGTTTCTCCTTTGTGTATGTTGATGCCTACTGATACAGAGACTGCTGCTACACTGGCTGTCTTTATCTGCATTTGTTTTTGTGTATGGGATAGGAGAAACAGGTCATCTATGAAGTCCATATCGTCTAGTTGATTCAAAGTTTTCCTTTGTATTCCGTGATTCCCCTCACATGTGGATGTATTTTTTATGATCTAGTCAACCATGAGAAGAAAGAGTAAGTGCGAGTAAGCAGCCTTGTCAGACTTCAGTCTTCACACGGAATGCGTCTGTCAACGGTCCTTCGCGTACGACCTGCAGCGTAGTCTATCGTCAAAATTCCGTATGATGTTGATAATTTCCCCAGCCATTCACATCATAGTATCGAAGAAGGTCCCATCAAGACTGTCAAACGTCGATCCTTGCGGAATCCGACCAGTCGATCTCGAAGTCATCCAACTCAGCAACACCTTGTTGAAAACTTTTCACCGGTACTGACATAGTGTGCCGCCTCTGTAGCTCTCACATTTGCTCAGATCTTTCTTTGGTATCTTGGTGAGGTGTCCTTCTTTCCAGTCCACCGGCACTTGTTCTTCCTAGCGAATCCTCCTGAATAGAGCGTAGAACATGTCTGCAGTCATACCTACGCCTGGTTTTAGAGCTCCAGCTGATATATTGCTGCCTTCCCGCTCTTGATTTGTCTGATGGCGATCCTGATTGGTGGATTGACAACTATAGGAAGGTCTGTGTGTGTTGCTTCGATATCCGATAGATTCAATGAAGCTAGTCTATTCAAGAGTTCGTCAAAATATTCTACCCATCTGTTCCTGTCCTTGAATTTCAGTGATTGACTTGCCTGCTTTGTTGTATACTATGCTTTGTGGTATACTATATTTCCCTAACAGTTTCATCGTTGTGTCATAAGGTTGTCTCATATTCCCTTCTCTTGCAACTTTTTATGCTATCGATGCTATCCAGGTCTACATCTAACACGTATTTATACTTGTCGGCTGTAATGTCCCATCTCACTTACTTGTTTGTATCTATGTATTCGGCCGATGCCTTGATTTCCTCTGTTCTTCAGATGTTGTTAATTGTCTTCTTCTTCTTTCTTCCTTCAGTCATGTTCAGGGTTTCCATAGAGATCCGTTTCTTATGATGATACTTTTTGCGACCCAGCACTTATTGACACTCTGAAATTGGTGCTACTTTGATTCCTTTCCAGTAGTCCTCTATAGTAGTTTCTTATTCTTTCAGTAGATCCTATAAGGTTTGAAACTTGAGAGAGCTATCTCAAATTCCTTGTTTTTCAGTGTGTCGAAGGAAGGCTGTACTGAACGTCTTGAATGCTGTTTCTCCTGTTGTTCAGTGTATTATAGATTCAGTTTCATCTTGGCAACCACCAGGTGATCATCTGAAGCTATGTCAGCTCCTCTACTAGTTCTTACGTTCTCCGTTGACCTGAATTTATTAACTGATGCAAATATGATCTATATGATTTTCCGTCGTATGATCCGGTGAGACCCATGTAACTTTGTATTTGCGTTTGTATGGGAATATTGTGATACATAAAACCATTTTGTTGAATGCACATAAATTTGCAAATCTCCAACCATTTTCGTTTCTTCCTCCTAGTCCACGTCGTCCCATGACATTTTAATACCCGGTGTTGTCCGTTGTGACTGGCGTTTGGGTATCCCATAAAGATGGTCAAGTACTTCCCTGAGAACTTTGCTGATCGATTTTAGCCTCTTATAAAACTTGGTTTTATCGCTGTCGTCGTCGCTATCATTGGTGGGTGCACGACACTGAATAATATTCATTGTGATTTCCTCCTCTGCTTTAATGAGCCTGGATCCATGAGATTTCCATTCTATAAGTAACAGTGAGGTTGGGCACAGGGTATTAGGTAATGATAGTAAATCACTTGATGAGGTTGTAAATCTTCATCGACTGAGATAGTTGGGCTATGTGTTACATATACCTGAACACCGGTTACAAGGACAGATCTGCAGACTAATAAAAGAAACTGGAATTAATAAGTCAAGTGTAAGACAGACTATTTCGGAAAAAGGCTACACTCATCCGCTCGCAGTCCAGACGTTTAGAACGATGGGCGGAACATTTCAGAGAACAGTTCAGCTGGCCTTGAGCTACTCTACAACAACCCTCCATTCACAGACAGTGTGAATGGAACATTGAAGTAGGTCTCCCAAATATAGCTGAAGTACAAAAGGCTATAATTAACCAAGAATGAGGAAGAGCAGCTGGTCCAGATGGATTGGCTAAAGAGGTCTTTAAGGATGGTGGTCCAATTTTAGGTTGACTAATATTTTAGCTAAAGTCTGGGAGTTGGACGTAATTCCATCTGACTGGCCACAATCACTGATCGTCCCAATATATAGGAGAGGGTCAAAATCATCCAGTAACAACCATAGAGGCATTAGTTTAACTAATATAGTAGTATCTAAAATACTAGCCTCGATAATTATCGGACGCCTAAGACTCGTGAACTGCAAACACGAGAGAATCAAGCTGGCTTCAGACCTGGTCGTGGCTGCATCGACCACACATTCACCATTCGTCAGGTTCTAGGACACAAGCATACTTATCGGCGTCTAACAATGGTGGTCTTTTATGACTTAAAAGCAGCATTCGACTCGGTAGAGCGCGAGATTCTGTGGCAGTGTCTGTCATTGAAAGGCGTACCTCAGAAGTACATAAACCTTGTGAAGGCTCTTTACTCGAACACTGCTAGTGGAGTGAGAACTCATGGCGAACTGTCATCTGCTTTTGCAACCTCAGGTGGTGTCCGTCAAGGCTGTCCACTTTCTCCATTTTTGTTTAATTTCATCATAGACCTACTGATGGAAATAACTTTCTCGTCTACTGAATTCTCGGGTATTGATCTCCTTACAGGAGATCCACTTATCGACTTAGAATACGCAGATGACATAGTCCTGTTTGGTGAAGACGCTGATAAATTACAGAGTCTTTTAGCAGCACTGAGTAAGAATGCCAGAGTGATTGGAATGCGCTTCTCTCCCTCTAAATGCAAGTTGTTGCTTCAGGACTGGTCTGCGTCAACACCTGAACTAAGGATAGGGAGTGAAGTAGTCGAACACGTTGACAAATTCACTTATGTTGGAAGTCTGATCAGCCCTAATGGTTTGGTGTCTGACGAAATCTCAGCACGTATTCGAAAAGCTCGTTTGGCTTTTGCCAACTTACGTCACCTACGGAGAAGGCGAGATATCCGTCTATCAATCAAAGGACGAGTATACTGCGCGGCAGTTCGTTCTGTTTTAATTTACGTCAGCGAAACATGGCCACTAAGAGTCGAAGATACCTGTAAGCTACTAGTATTTGACGACAGATGCCTTAGAACTATTGCTGGCATCTGCTGGGATCACGGGTAAGTAATAGTGAGGTTAGACACAGAGTATTAGGGAATGATGGTAAATCATTTGATGATGTTGTGAATCTTCATCGACTGAGATGGTTGGGTGACGTGTTACGTATGCCTGAACACCGATTACCACGACGTGCAATGCTAACCGGTGTTGGGGATGGTTGGAAGAAAGTTAGGGGCGGCCAAACCAAAACGTGGCATCAATGCTTGAAGTCACTAACTTGTGGTCTGTGCCATGTTGGTAGATGCAGACTACTTGGTAGGGGTCCGCGTGACTATCGTAACCAATGGTTGGAGACTCTTGGTGACATGGCTCAGAATCGATCACAATTGTGTAAGTGTATACACTCTCTGTCTTCCTTTAAACTAAGAGGATAAAATCGCTTCACATCTTCCTTTCTATGTACTAAATCTTTCTTCCTGTACTATGTTCTTATATGCAATCTTTCTTTTATATATTACCATCATTGAATTAACTACTTCTATGGATCCGGTGTTCATCTTGTTGTGTTAATGAGGTATGGCAACTTGGACCGATGCATTTACGTGCGAGGTCCTACGTTGCAGCTGACTGACTGACATCCTATAAATGCTTTACATGCTTCTTTGGATAACATAAGAGCAACTCCCTGAGCGTGCGGAGCAGTTTCTTCTTCGTAACGCGAGCACAGCAACATCTCTCCCGAATCCATCCGGGCTGGGGACCGGTAGTTGCCTTAGAAAAACTACAGGCGGAGTTTTACATAATCAACCAGACATAAAATTAATAAAAGACTAATTTTTAGTGGTTAATTGTCGTATGATAGCTCTGTATCTTTGAGGAAGTATCACATTCATATAAAGCGGTAATTTCTTATTTAAACCACTCAAATTTCATGTCCTAGAATGCAGATGGGAATCTCATCTTAATTACATCAGTTTCACAAGTCACGCAAAATGTTATAAGTTTGCCTTCATAATGAAAGTCGAATACATAGACTTGTAGTTGGCGAATAAATTATATTATTCCCACACAAAATTCATGAAATTAAGGTCTTACAAATAATGTTTCCGTTCATGACCAATTATATAGAGATAAAAGAACACAGACTTGAATTGTATTCAAGAAAGTCGATAATATCTAGTTTGCACAGATTTTTTCAAGACAATCGAATATACCATATTACGTGGGTGAAGTGAATTATAAAACGATTAGAAAGACATGAGAGTAGGAGAAAAATCAGCTAAGTCATTATCCATTTTTTCGATGTTTCAATCAATTAATAAATAGCGATAAACTGTTTGCATTACGTATCGTAACAAACTGCAGTAGAAAAATTGTAGTAATATTAATGGTAATAATAATAATAAACTTCTGAGCAGAGAAAATAAAGAGAAAGACTAACAGAAATTTGATAACTAAAAATATTAGCTATAGAATAAAACAGTTTTCGTTCAAATGAATAGTATGTCGTCGAAAATAAAATACTGATTTTTATGGCAAGTTTCATGTCAAATTTACAGTAATGAGAAATAAGTAGCTGCAATCAACAAGATAAACGCAGAGATCCATTATTAATCTATTTTGATATTGAGATTATAAAATGAAGTGAAATAATGAGGTTGTCAGTGATGTACATGTGTGGTGGGGTGACAAGAGGGTAGTAATTGTGACGATACAAGCATTAGCAAAAAGTAAACCAATAAAACTAATAACGTCTTTTCAAATTAATTGTTCCCGTTTAAATGCACGTCTAATACACCTTGGACATGTTTCCGGATTCGGGGAATGTAAACATGCACGATGAAAACAAGCTGAACAACCGGAACATATTGTGGTATTTACTTGACCGAATGGAAAAAGAATTTGACCAGATTTACATATTTCACAAATAAAGCCACAAGCTAAACATCGTTTACATATTGATATATGCTCTACTAATGGTAAGAGTAATGCACGTAAAGTTATTGATAATTTTCCATCATGTACAGAATGTAAATCAGCCATACTCCATAAATCTGGTGTTTCGAACCAATGACTTGGTATAGAAGTAAAGTCCACTAATTGTTGAGCTAAAACCGAATACAGAAATAAAAATAAAATATTAATCATTACTTGCAATCTTAATGTTCTCTGCTTTTCAATGGTACGCTTACTGAGATCGATCTGTGATGATGAATGCAACCTACAAATTGAACCAATCTCTACAAAACCTTTTCACTTAGAAAATAATATTACTTACTTACGCCTGTTACCCCTTGTAGAGAGGGCAAAGGGCGTCGACCAGGATTCTCCAACCAACTCTTTCCTGGACTCTCCTTTTCAGTCGTTTTCGAGTGTTATACATTCCTCTTAGGTTTGCTTCCTATTCTCGGCGTAATGTGTTTATTAGTCTGCATCTTTTACTTCCGATTTCAGAATTTCAAGTTAGAGTTTGCCTCGTGATGCAAGAGCTAGATACCAATAACTGTAAACCTTATTATTATTAATGGGACATGTTATTTTATGTTATAGATAGGGTGGTAAGAATAATAATTATGTACGGTAAGATCGAAATTGTTGAACTTTTAAATAGTCATCAGCTTTACCTGTGAAAGTGCTTCAAAGTCAAATTGTAATCACACAATATAAGATAGTGAACAAATATACAACGAAAATTATTTTGTCTAGCTACAACAACAACCAACCTGTTTGACACTGTTGAATAAATGGTAGCATCAAATTCCCTTGTTTACGTAAAGTCAAACAATTCACAAGATTAGACTGACGGTTTAAGACTTGTTTGTTAAAATCGATTGTTCTTAATAAAGGTTGATTATGCAACTGACGAAGTCGATCACGTGCAAAATTACTGACTGATAACATACGAAAATCCCAACAGGTCACTAAATTACCAGGAAGAGTCATAAGTGTATTCGAATGACAAACACAACAAAAGTAACGACCAAAAAATTCGCAAAAACGCATTCTTTTAAGATATCCTGAAGAAAAATACGGACAGAACAAAACAGTAAGCAATTATAAATAATAACGAAACTCTATAGTTACATCAATGTTCTGCTTAAAAATACTGAGAATTAGGAAAACTACTGCAGAGTAAAGACACTAATGCAGGCCACCAAGATGTTTTTATTATTGATTGGTATTATTCAAGGATCTACAGTTATTTCGTTTCAAATTGGGGTTAAACAGAGTGGAACCTCAAATCCATAAATGATTAGATTTGTTAACTCTTTGTTTGGGTGAAAATTTTACTACAGTTCACTTAATGAACCAGCAAATAATAACTTATGCTTTCCGACAGAATACAGATATCATCACATTCATTTAACACTGATCTACGTGAACTTATATGTATCAGTCAGTCAGACATAAGCAACAGAGAACGCAGAGCATATGTGTACCGGTTCAGATTGTCAAAGCGTATCAGCACAAATGTCATGGTAGTAGAAGTGTAATGAACGAAGACTTGGGCAGGAGAAACCAGTTATATGTGCGAAATTAATGATTTTGTAAAATATGTAAACTATGCATCAAATACACTATTTGCATATCTTTCATGGACTTTCTCTCACGAACTTCATCGTTCTTCCATTTCTGTTGTTATTTCGATTTCTCTCAGTTTACCTTTCTTCTCTTTTCATTTTCCTCTTCAGTAAGTATTCTACTTCCAATACCTGATACATACCACTTACATCTGTCCGTATAGGTAGTACACATCACGGAAGTACCACGAAATGATTCTTGTAATGTAAGTCACAAAATACAAGCACATATACTCGAGTTTGGGTTACACTTTTGATGTAAGGGTTACTGATGCTATCAGCCTGTTAAAGCCGAAATAGGTGTGAGGATAAAACCTTCGACTTAAAGAGTTAAAGACAAACGCTTGAACTATCAAATCACTCCAACTAGCTATTAATTCTCACAATTTGATCTGTCAAAACAGACCAGGTACATAGAAAATCTTAATTCTTTTTTTGTTTCGGTATATGACGGCTGAAAAGCTTGAACTGAACCAGGCTAAACGAAAATCCGACTAGTACAACTTGTCAATGATCTACATGAAAGATATACATGCAGATATTTGTATTGTTCGTTGGCACATTTAACAGTCCTCAGAATGGTTCAGTGTTCATGATGGACTTATCACTATCAAAGTATAGAATAAACACTATTTAAGGAAAATGAAAAGAAAGCACATTTATTTCTTGAATATTACTAATCAACAACTGAGGAAGAACTTACGAGTTTCAATGAAGGCACCGCAACCAGCGCATCGGTTATTTTGACTGACAAGAACTCCTTTACGCCTATGTGTAGAAAAATGGCCAAATGAAAAAGACATTCAATTAAAATGATAACTATTCTATTTAAATATCATTAATGTAGTGAAGTTTAACATTTTCAAAGCATACTCCCTAGTATTAAAAGGAAAAATATGACTAAATACAACTAAATGTTTAAACACTTATGATAAACAGTTACTTATGTCTTAGGTGTATCAATCTATTCAAAGAGAGTTCAAATGCTAATATAGTCAGGTTGAACTATGTGTGAGACAATTCTCTGAATGGTTTTCTAAATAACCAAATGGAAAGAAATTATGTATACTTGGAAGTATAGATTTGAGGTGTTTTCCAGACAAGAAGACATCATGTTTCTTCACTGATAACTTTTCCAATACAAAGTAACCTTAGTATTGGTTTCAAAAAGAAAAGTTGTGACTGCTGTGTGGAAAATCTGTTGGCATGAGTAACAAACACGTTACATAAATCGTACTGAAATACTTGATGATGATAATAACCCTAACCCACTTGTCAGATAACCAGTACAAGTTATATATCAATAGTTTGAAACTAATTTTTCTTTTATCTTCAACTTTTATAATATAAAGGTGATCTAAGGCACTTTTTTCCCTGAATAACTCTTCAATTACATACAGCAAACATAAACATTGAAATAAAACGATACTTACTTAGATTTTTGGATAGGTGGATTGATCAATAATCCATATGGTAAAGGTGTACAGCCAAACCCTGATGACAGTGACAATGATGATGTAGGATAGTCTTGATTATCGGAACCCATTTTACTCGATAACTGAAAATCTTTATTTAAAGAAATTAACGACCTATTGTTAGCATGATTATCATTGTTATTACTATTATCATTCTTTGAAAGTGTATCTATGATAATAGTTGAATTATTACTTAATTTATTTATGGTAGGTTTTGAAAGCGTTGTTGAATGATTAACAAATGAACTAGATGAGGTTAACATTGAAGAGGAATAATCAGATTGTGAGGTTGATTTCATAGATCTTTTTGAATTACTTGACTGAGATAATGAAGTAAAATGATGAAATGTGTTGCACCTTCTACAAAGATTTTTAAAATGGAATAATAAAAGAGGAAACAGGTTAAACACAATTGCAACTATGAATATGTATGCTAAATAGCTAAAAGTAGAACACGTGTAACTCATTAACCATATATGTGTCTATTTATTTGACTTCGAAACATACTGTTTTGGTAGGAGCTAGTGATACTTACTGGGTATTCAAACTAAATGGAATGAAGTCAAATTCGGACGTGTGACTTATGTTATGGGTTTACATAACCATATGTAGATGTTGCGCCTGAAATGGTGAACACTTGCGGCAATGACTTCCTGATCTATCATCTTATTGATTATTTATTTATTTGAACACATAAACATTGGTATAAAGGGGTGCAAAATACATATGCGTCATACAATAACAATGAGGTTGTGAAGAGATAGAGAATGGAGGGTGAGTATAATAAAAGAGCAACAATGAACAGAAATTAGTGTATTAGAGTGAAGTAATAATAATAATAATAATAATAATAATAATAATAATAATAAAGGGAGAGAAGCAGTTCCAGTTAGGAAAAAACAATCATGAAGGATTCGTTATGTTGAAGAAATGAGTAGAACTTCTCTGGTAGTGGCTGTGTACGAGAGGCCTAGTGAGGAAAAAAGACTCTCTACCCTCGGCCGTACCAGGGCATTTTTGGGGCATGACCTATTGGCTCCTAAAAACTCAGGATTCTTGAATTAGAAGATAGGAATGTCAAATGTTCGCTTTCAAGGTTAATTTAGCGCTACAGAAGTCAAAGATCGTTGATTTGGTTATGAACGACCTTTGGATTTTAATGGCCTCTAGAAAATATACTTATATTAGTTAATAACTTCAGTGTTTGATCAATCAAACTGGGAAATAATACAAATGAATGATTACCGAGATTTTCTAAAAGAGATGAATTGCATGAGAACAATTGGGGGCACATTTCAGTCTCCTAGAATTTTCTAAAGAACATTTATAGGATGTAATACCACACAGGAAAATTTATCTTATGGATTTCATCATTATTTTAAAATAATCCGAAAAAGTGAATAATAGTGTTTCTATTGGTTAATATTTTAAATCAAGTGACATATATTTTAAATCAACCAAACAAAATAAGTTTCTGAATCATCAAGGTGACATCACTTGTAACTGGATAACAAATCGATTTATTGACAAATACTGGAAACCAAACGTCGAAGCATTAGCTGTTGTTATCATTTATAAACGAACAGGAACCTACAATGTTGTAATCTGATTATCGTTTAAAATATAGTTGGTTATCCAATGTTAAATACATGGAGAAGAAATCTTGTGATTTAAAGGTTAATTGTTTATTAGCCTTTCTAAATCAGATTTTTTGAGAAAATTCAATCTCAAGTTTTTATTACGACACTCAATTACAAAGATCCAAATCTTTGAATGAGCCTAAATTTATTTGAAATAATAAATATGCCTTAATGGTGAGTGATAATAAACGCGGTAGATAGGTGGTGGGCAAGATCTTTAAAAAACTGTTCTCAAAATATTTGAAGACAAGTAAGAACGGTACAACATAGCGATACATAAAATTTAGAAGCTGAATCATATTAATTTGCGGATACATTCTAATTTGGCATGGTATATTATAGTATTCATTTGGTAAGTTTTATTCCAAGTCCATCTCAGCATATATATAAGGACACCTTTGGGTCACAATTTAGAATATTAGCTAAATGAACACGCACAGAGGTCACTAAATTTCGCAAAATACAATATGGAGAAACAAATACGTACCCCTGAGAATTGAGTTGTATTGAATTACTAGATGTACTTGATAGCCGATTATTTTTGGAAAAGTTTTGAAATTTAATATCATAATTAAACCTCGTTGATCTTGGCGATTCGATAAACTGCTGATTTAAACGAACCCAGTTAATATCACAAGTTTTGAGAAGTAGTTCTTGTAATTTTAAAAATTTAAACAAAATCATTTCTTGTTTTTCGTTTTGAGCAGTTTCTTGTATACACGTATTGACTAGTGAAACTGCCAGTCCCGTCGCGCTATCTACACAATGCTCGCAGTAATCTGTTTCTCTAGATTGACTATGCAATGTTGAATTGATTAATGGATTACGTAAATTTTGATCAGTAACATCCACCAAAGTCATATGTGACGAGAGTAGACTTGAAGGTAAAGTATTCGATTTGTGAACCTTTAAAAAGTTTTAATGGTCCAACTTATTCAACGTAAAGGATGTTTATACACATTCAAATATTTATTTATTATTATTGTTAACTTGTACACAGAACAAAACAAGAAAAATTAGACATGTTTGAAGGTTTATGGTTAACTAAGTGTTAACATAATTATGAAAAAAGTAGCGAAAAAATGTTAAATTTCGATTAACGATTATTATGGAATATGAATTACAATAGCGATTTAGGTATTTTATTTTAATTTTATAGAACTCAATTACCAAATGTAGGGGTTCGTGTACTCAGTCGCACTTTGAGCATGTATAAAGGCTATTAATACTATTACTACTTCAGAAAGACACTCATCTCTTTCTACGAAGTGAATGACTAACCTATTTCACAACTAAGGATAAACAATTTAAAATACGATGGTGTAGATTGGGCGTTTGTCAATGTTATATTGTAAATAGTAATTATATCTGTTATAATCTCTTTTCTTACGGTATGACCCAGCTATACCTATTGCTTAATATTCGTGGACACCAATCACTCGACAAGACCCCAAATCAGAACACGGTTGAACAGGAAAGAGATTATATTCCAAATAACAAGGTTAGATGGGAGTAAGATGCAAGTAAGAAGCAAAATAGAGAAAATGTTAGTATATTTATAGAGCATTCTCCAACTATCGACTAGTGCTGATTGGATAAGAATTAGCCAATCAGCGTGCACCAAAACAATCATGAATTGAGCAAGCTTTAATTCGGTCTATGTCCCGCTAATAATATCAGATAAATTTTCCTAACTAAATAAAAATATATCTATCGCCTCTTTATAACTAGTTTAAAATGAAATTCATTAGCAATAATTTCATGGTTTGGTAGTGAGAGAGATAAGAAAGTAGTACATGTATGTGAAACAAGGTTTTACCTGAACACACATAAAATGCACTATGCAACATTTGAAAGTAAAATTAATGTAAAATCACTTCAGACTTAACAATTTAAACAGGCATCTCTATCTTTAAAAAAACTACTACAAATTATAACATACATAATAATTGTGAATAATTAGATTATTCACTAATACAAAATGATAATTTTACCTGAAAGTCAGTAGGAATTTGTAAAGATTTGTCCTTATCTTTTTCGCCATACACAGAATCTAAAAACTCACAATTTTCCATATCATAAATTTCTTCTATTTGTCCAATTAAAAATTCACATATTTCAAAGTACGCTACTTCTCGAACTAAATGTTTTACAAAAGCGGAACGACCTGGAAGAAGTAGATGTTTAGTATTAATTTGATCGTGTATAAAAGAATTTGAAGGGGAATGTGATTTACAGTGAGAACCTTTGGAAATGAAACAAAGAGTATTAATTGTATAAATTAGGGATGCACTTAGAATTCAATGAACAGAATAATGTAATGCAAATAATACAATGAGAAAATTAAGATTTTCCAATTACTCAAAAGCTATTTATTTCATCAAAGTAAGAATTTAATTCATTTTTAACTACTAACGATTCGAATAGAATAAATAAAAATGTAATCGTGAAGAAACTGAATACTAAAAGTTACACTCATTTTCTAGTATATCAAATGTAAAAATTAACGTGATTATCAGTCATACAATGTGAAACTACATGGATGTTTACTAATCACCACCAACAGGACATAAATAAAATGGACTACACAAGATGGAACAATAACACTGTAAAGAAATAAAAATGGTCAAGCCTACGCCTTATGTGGGGTAGGTAAGTAAGTAAGTAATAAAGTAAGAACAAATATTTTATTCAACAAGGCAGGAGTTTACTGAAAAATACAACACTTTTCTTTAAATTAGAGTTTCCTCTTTCACTTACGAAGTGCGGTGGAAAAATACATAAAAGGATCCCAACTAGTTTTTTTATTTAAAACACATATGATAGCAACGAGTCACTTAGTTGTTTGATCAGTAGGAACACAACCAAGAAATGATGAGCTGACAGATACCGGTTTAAAACCCCTTTTTTATTCATCAGCACCACATCGTAAACAGGTCGGTTTCCCGCGTTTTCCACCCAGTTCTGGTGTCCGTAAATAATAGGCACTGAGAAATTCTCCCGAAATGAGACTTCTTAGATATGTTCGAATCACAGGACCCAGTGTTTTAAAGTGAAGACCCCAATCGAATTATCACACTACTGAACACACATTGCTGGCCCCCGGAGCTGTTTACATGGTATTATCATCGGAAGTGAGCAGCTGTGTGAAAATGAAGTATATGCATCAACAATTGCAGTCATTGAAGATTTTCAACCCCTATCAACTTGGCTTTCATAATTAATACAACTCCATAACTAGGATCAAGCTTATAGAACTGGATAAGAGCTGTCTCTTTAATATGAGTAAAATCAAGTGATGCTATCCAGGTTCCAAACCAAAATAAATGCAGTGAGGTTTCGAAATTCAACTTAGTGATTGAATGATAAGCGATGTAATTACTAAGTCATCACTTCGTTTACTCTCCTTTCATAAAAAAACTCAGTCTTATCATTGTAGATTCATCAGTAATAAAGTGACGTCACATATACTGGAAAAGTCACTGCTAATCAGAATACGCGTAGTTTACTAGTGCTATATAGGAACAAAAAATCTTTTTGACAACTGTAAGGTAGACTGTAGAAAAATATTAATATAATTCTTAGATTCTTGTTACGTTCATATTATTTGGTTTCTTAATAATTAATGGTTATTTTCATTAGCGCGATATTTTTGTTAGAATATTTGGCAATATGATACCATTTTTGTTTTCTATCACACTTCGCATCCATATTAACATTACCTAGGAAAACTTTTACTTCATTTGAAGAATTTGAATTGATTTTTGACTGAATGTCAGGAGTAATTCGGTAATTAACTTCGCTTAATTCCTCTTCATCATCTGTTTGACCATCTCCCGATGAACGTGACTCAACTGGAATGTTTGTGTTTGTAAATGGTCTTGTGTTTAACCAATCACAAGATACAAATGAATTTTTCAGACCATTCGTTTGCTGTGAATAACCTACAGAAGTTTGCTTCAAGCATCTTAAATGCTCCCTATTACAAAAAATAAAATAAAAAAGTTAGCACGTTAGTTGGAGTTGTTTGTTCGATTGTTAATTGAATAGATTTAAAAAGTCTCGTTATTGTCACATGAGCTCCTTATATTTTTCGATAGTTAGTGGTTAATTCCTGAACGTATGAATCGGTTTATTAAAGTTCGTTAATTATGTCACACTGTTTTAGTGAGACTGAGTCGGACTTAAACCTAATGTACACTTTGAAAATACAACAGCCGTTCCAAATGGATTCTGAGTAAGATCGGCTAACCTTTGTGCAAATAATATTTTCTTTCTAAATGAAACATTTATGAGCTCGTTAATTTTACTGAGCTGAATTCCCGGATTCTTTCAACAAACCGGTTTCATGCCTAAATGAGTAGCTGCAAGATTGGCTATAGAGATTCGACATTCTATTTTATGAGTAGTCGGTTGGTAGGACCTCCTGAGTACAAAACTTCACTGAATTAAAGCCATATTTTGTTGAAAAGTCTAATATGGAATAGGACTGTTAGCTATCCCTAAACACAATCAAATTTCTAGGGTACAAAAAATGAGCAGAGAGATGTAACAATTTATATATCGTATAGGAAGGAATCGGTTCAATTCCCAACAGTTCGTAACAATACCTGAAAGATTGGAAAATTAAAAAATAAATAAAACATGTTGAATAGTGAGAGATATAAGTAAAAGGAGAGCTACAAATCTTCTCCACCATCTCAAAAGGAGACAAATAAAGGAAAAGCAATAAATCACTAAGCTCTACAGGTGAGTAAAAAGTGAATATATTGTAATCGATGATAGTCTTTTTTAAATTTAGGTGGAGAACACAGACCAAATATTCTTAACCTGATTCCAACACATGAGATAACCCCCGTCTATGATGAAAACAATATGGTGGGATAGAATTACGTCTAACAGTAGAACCCTGATTGATTGAAGAGTAAATGACCTATTAAATTTATTTCCTTCAATCGCTTATGACACCCAATTGTTTACTTTTCGCGCTAAAAGTTTGTATAGAAACATGTTATTTTAAAAGATGTAAAAACCTGTTATTCTGGTCAACAATCTTGTATTCGGTATTATTTTATACAGGCGTTTACACCGATAACCTAGTGGAAGAGAGTGGTTAGTGTGAGACATCTGTCTGTGTATTTATGTTTAAAGATTTGGTAGTAGGTGAAGACCGAATCGATGGACCACGCTTTAAGTCTTAAACCAACTCAGCTGCCTTCGGTTTCAGCTTGGCATCAAATGACTATAGGGTAGTGAAAATTCGAGACCGTTAGTTAGTGTGGTTAATAACTGACGCATTTACTATACAATTACACCTTTTATGTTGTTTAAATATATCATAACAATACAATACAATTTCATACTGCATACTTCAAATTTGAGTTCTTGCTTGAATCTTGTCGAAGTTCTAGACTTGTGATTAGTAGTATTTCGTTATCTGATTTCAAATTCACACCTGGAGTCGCAGTACATAGGGATTCAAGTAACTTGGGGTAATTGTTCATTAATTTGTCCCTGAGAGAAGTGGATGATTGTTTAGAATGTTTTGATGCTTGGTGTATGTCATATAACTTTACGGAAGATAGCATTGCATACTAATTTATTACCGCTATTGATAGAAAAGCCTATAGGTTGTTAAAGAATTTGGCACATTCTGGTAAACTTACCCTACTTCCGTTCAACAAACTTACGAGAATACCAACCGCTCATTTTCATGTCAAACCGTTTGAAATACATGACAGCACATTTCAACAAATTAGTTCGTGCAACAAATCAGACTATTAGAGATTTCATAATACACCTTCGGATACAAGCTTCTAAGTGCAATTTCGGTGAACAGCTGCACATCAGATTTCGTGACCGCCTGATTGCTGGTATAAATAATTCTAAACTAGAGAATATTATACCAATCCTTTTCGGTGCCTTTAAGGCAGACAAAGACCTCTATTTTACTTATGAAGATTATAATAATGATCCTCGTGATGCTATCACGAAAGATCATGATGCCTTGTTATCGAATGTGAAAAAATCTGCCATACTGCAGAAACCTCAGACAGCAAAATTCCCATTCAGACAAGTGAATCAATCGACAGTCAGCCAGTCAGCTACAACGTAGGACCAGGCACATAAATGCATCGGTCCAAGTTGCCATACCTCATTAACACAACAAGATGAACACCGGATCCATAGAAGTAGTTAATTCAATGATGGTAATATATAAAAGAAAGATTGCATATAAGAACATAGTACAGGAAGAAAGATTTAGTACATAGAAAGGAAGATGTGAAGCGATTTTATCCTCTTAGTTTAAAGGAAGACAGAGAGTGTATACACTTACACAATTGTGATAGATTCTGAGCCATGTCACCAAGAGTCTCCAACCATTGGTTACGATAGTCACGCGGACCCCTACCAAGTAGTCTGCATCTACCAACATGGCACAGACCACAAGTTAGTGACTTCAAGCATTGATGCCACGTTTTGGTTTGGCCGCCCCTAACTTTCTTCCAACCATCCCCAACACCGGTTAGCATTGCACGTCGTGGTAATCGGTGTTCAGGCATACGTAACACGTCACCCAACCATCTCAGTCGATGAAGATTCACAACATCATCAAATGATTTACCATCATTCCCTAATACTCTGTGTCTAACCTCACTATTACTTACCCGTGATCCCAGCAGATGCCAGCAATAGTTCTAAGGCATCTGTCGTCAAATACTAGTAGCTTACAGGTATCTTCGACTCTTAGTGGCCATGTTTCGCTGACGTAAATTAAAACAGAACGAACTGCCGCGCAGTATACTCGTCCTTTGATTGATAGACGGATATCTCGCCTTCTCCGTAGGTGACGTAAGTTGGCAAAAGCCAAACGAGCTTTTCGAATACGTGCTGAGATTTCGTCAGACACCAAACCATTAGGGCTGATCAGACTTCCAACATAAGTGAATTTGTCAACGTGTTCGACTACTTCACTCCCTATCCTTAGTTCAGGTGTTGACGCAGACCAGTCCTGAAGCAACAACTTGCATTTAGAGGGAGAGAAGCGCATTCCAATCATTCTGGCATTCTTACTCAGTGCTGCTAAAAGACTCTGTAATTTATCAGCGTCTTCACCAAACAGGACTATGTCATCTGCGTATTCTAAGTCGATAAGTGGATCTCCTGTAAGGAGATCAATACCCGAGAATTCAGTAGACGAGAAAGTTATTTCCATCAGTAGGTCTATGATGAAATTAAACAAAAATGGAGAAAGTGGACAGCCTTGACGGACACCACTTGAAGTTGCAAAAGCAGATGACAGTTCGCCATGAGTTCTCACTCCACTAGCAGTGTTCGAGTAAAGAGCCTTCACAAGGTTTATGTACTTCTGAGGTACGCCTTTCAATGACAGACACTGCCACAGAATCTCGCGCTCTACCGAGTCGAATGCTGCTTTTAAGTCATACAAGACCACCATTGTTAGACGCCGATAAGTATGCTTGTGTTCTAGAACCTGACGAATGGTGAATATGTGGTCGATGCAGCCACGACCAGGTCTGAAGCCAGCTTGATTCTCTCGTGTTTGCAGTTCACGAGTCTTAGTTAGGCGTCCGATAATTATCGAGGCTAGTATTTTAGATACTACTATATTAGTTAAACTAATGCCTCTATGGTTGTTACTGGATGATTTTGACCCTCTCCTATATATATAGTGACGATCTGTCATTGAGACCAGTTAGCTAAAATATTAGTCAACCTAAAATTGGACCACCATTCTTAAAGACCTCTGGAGCCAATTCATCTGCCTTTTGAACTTCAGACAGAGTTGGGGGACCTACTTCAGTGTTCCACCCACGCTATTTGGGAATGGTGGATAGCTGTAGAGTAGCTGAAGATAGCTGAACTACTCTTTAAAATGTTCCTCCCGTCGTTCTAAACGTAGAGACTGGGAGCAGATAAGTGTCGTCTTTTTCCGAGATAGTCTGACTTGCACTTGACTTATTAATTCCAGTTTCTTCTATTAGTCTGTAGAGCTGTCTTGTGTTCCCTATAGCCGCCGCCTTTTCCATCTCTTTTGCTTTCGTTGCCCACCACTGCTCACGGTCGTTTCTCAGACTTTTGCTTAACCTAGATCTGATTTCTTTACGCTCTTCATCGTGTTCAGAGCCTGATGGGATGAGTTTACGAGAATCCATCAATGCAATGGACCTTGAGGAAATCCATTGATTCTTTGTAACCCTGTGGTTTAAATCACTGAGAGATGTCACTGCTGTTTCCACAGCTGTTTGTATAGCTTTCCAAAAAACATCTGGGTCAGCCTCGTTTTCAGAACTACCTCATTGTGACCTCAGTTGTTCCTGGAACCTACTTTTGGTTTTCTCGCTACTCAATTCAGTTATAATGGGTCTTTGTACTGTGGCTTTTTTGCGTCCAGTGAGGCGCAAGCAGATGTGTGCCCGTATTGGGGCTTGGTCGGAGTCCAAGCAGGTACTCCAGAATGAGCAACAATCTTCTACCGACCCTCACCAACGATGACTGATGGCAATATGGTCTATTTGAGTCAATCGTTGGTTCGGTGTAGAGGGTCACCATGTTAGACGATGTCTCTCCTTATGCTTAAAATTTGTGTTTGCTAAAAATAAACGATTGTCTGAGCACAGTTACAGCAGACGATCACCATCATCTGTTCGCTGTGTCGGAATACTAAAATACCCACCTAAATGTCTTTCTGTTTGGTTTCAGCTACCTACTTGAACACTAAAGTCACCTGCTACGAGTACTGTCTGGACGTTTAGCTTTCTGAAGAAGTTCAGATAGCTTTCTGCAAAATTCATCTTTCACTTCATCTGAGCTGCAGTCGGTGGGAGCGTAGGCAGAAACGACAAAAAGGCAACGACGTGTGCCCATATCCATCCGAGTTCTTACGGAACCGTTTAGCCGAACAGAACATGGGAGACTGTTAACGGGGATCCACTTTAACAGTGCTTGTTCCGCCCTCATGCTTAGTGCTATGCCTACACCTGCCAGTCCACGGGAACTAGCCATCGGGTCGCCAGATACACGGAGGGTGTACCTCGTCGGCTCTCCGTTTTGCCAAGGTGAGGTCAGGTGAACGACCACACTAGGATCCTGTATGCGTGTTTCAGAGACACAGCATACATCAATGGTACGAGATTCTAGGGTTCTAGCCAAGGAAGCCTGCTGACCGATTTGACATACGTTGAAGACTCCAATGTGTAGTTTGGAGCGAGGTTTCAGTAGACCTGGGACAGTGTTTCATGCACTAGAATCGTTGGCTATGGTGACACTTGAGGGGGAAGCCGAAAGAGGAAGTTTAGAGGTGAAAATCGATGTAGGAGGAATAATAGAAAGTGAAGAGGGAGGTTGATTATGAATACAGTGGTCTTGAGTACTGTTAGAGGTATGAGGGCGGTTATCACTTCCCGGTTGCCTTCACCGTGGAAGGGTTCTTCTGGAGGTACCTGAAAAGGAAATCGGATTCAAGGTGGTCTTAGTGATCTGAGAGCGTGACCGCAGTGCCCAAGGGACAACTACTTGAGGTCAGTCACACACGACCTTTTTATGAGTAATTTTTGTGTTGGCTCCGTACTTGTTGAGACCTTACCGCCGGAGACGGATATCCGTGGGACAAGACGATGTGCGCATTTTCAGGGTCGACCTTTTCTAACCCCACCCCTCCTTGTGGGAAGGCAGCATCGCTGTCATGCTGGTTGTCTGAAGGAAACACCTTATTGCTGTCACACCTCTGCACAGTCAGCAGTACGACTTCGCCTTCAGACCTTGGGTTTGTTGCTTTTAGTCTTACTGCTCTTCAACCAACCTGTCTGACATGGTAGGACCTTGAGGAACGGTTGTTCCAGCCAGTATAGCTCGGTTGCTTCATCACGATAGACAAGCCCGACCACCACGTCAAGGTAGCGACAACGGTCGGGAAATGATTCGACAAACACTTTTAATTTATCTTTGGCTATTAAACCCCGTCACTCATGTGGTAAACTGCATCTTCGTAGTTCATGTCAGTTTTGTTATGTACGTTGCTGTAAATATGGAAAGGTTGGACATACACAAAAGTTTTTGCAAAAGTCACTTACTACTAAAACACTGAATGATGTTGGATCAAGACCACCTGACTTGGACAGAAGGACGGATTCTTTGCCGCTCACTACAGCCTGCAGCAGTACGTTACATGTAATACAAATATTAATTGCAAACACAGGCAAGTCTCATTTGTTTATTGTTCATAAGAATGTCAGAGTCAATTATTTCTGAGAGAAATTTTTCGTTTATTTATAATGATGTCCACTTAAAACCTACAAGTAGTGGAATAACTTGGACCACTGGCCATCGGTTACCAGTTATTGGTATACTTAATATTCCATTGAGAAAAGAAGGTAGTTGTGTCAATATTCCTTTCCTAGTTAATGAATATGGTCCATCTAAGTTAGGGTTAAAGGATCTAAGATTGATGGACGCACGCACTTTTTGTGTACTGGTTCTTCTGACAGTATTTTAACCAAATATCTGGTCTTACAATGTTAGGAGGCCGTTAGAGGTATGAAAACTCACCCAGCACACTTAGGAGTAAAGGGAGGACCTATCTCCTTGAAGTGTAGACTAATTCCACATGATTTGAGAGGCTGTGAAGAATGAGCTGAGTAAACTAGTTTGAAAAAGGATAATAATCTCAGTTTGGTCGTCCGGTTGAAGTACTCCCATTGTGACTCAATTAAAAGTGGAAAGAAAAACACCTAGAATATGTGATGATTACCGCTTCACGTTAAATACTCAGGTATTGCAACAGAGTTGTAGCACTGAAGAAGCTGAGGATATTTTATATAAATTACAAGGGTCAAGGTACTTTCTTAAAATAGACCTGAAAGATATGTATTTGCAAATTCCATTGGATGACCAACTTTCCCAGAGGTTAGTGACAATCTGGTATGTTGGCCATTGTTTCACTGGTTTCTAAATAAGTTCGATAAACCGTTCACCATCCACACCTTTGAAAGTCATCTTTTTATACAATCATTTCATCAACGTTGTCAACTTGAATACAGACTGTGTTTTGTATTACAAACTAAATGAAACGGATATTTATGCAATACTTAGTTCAGATGAGGCTACAGTGATCTGTCGGATATGAGTGACTTCCGGTGGCAGATTAGTAACTGTTCTAATTACTTTTCATATGATAGTCTGAGTAGTTTTCCAGGTTACATTAAAGTAAAACACGTTTCCATTCTTCGTTAACTTTCAAGCTAATTACTGCTTGAATATGAACTTGGTGATTTCGTTTGCAGACTGAACATGCAATACATTTTGCCCCCATTTTCCGCATTTATTAGGTGTTGATAGAGACAGGCATAAACTAGTACATTATTAGAGCCCAAGAATCTACTCCAAAGAGAGCGAAAACCTTCGAACAATCCTGTCTAGCAACGAATAATATTAATATGATGATCGTCCTTTAGATTGATGTATACCAAAACCAACCCAGGAGATGTGTCTCATTATGTTGTAAGTGCTAAGAAGGAATAGGTGTCTGTCAAAGCAAAGTAGAACTGACAACTTTTAGAAAATTTACATAGTGATTAGAGCTTTACACAATGTAAAATAACTTGAAAGTAACTTACATGCTTACAGATTTGATGAGACCGTTCAAACGAACCATATGACAGCATGACGACTGACGCTGCACTGTATTTATTGAATTACCATAACGATCATAAAACCAACAAGCTTGAATATTTTGATTAAAACAGAAATGATAAGTACCTTCGGGATATATGTCAGAGGTGTGAAAACGGTGAATTTTATTATGACAGGATTTCGGTGATAAAAATCCACCTGAGTTCATGGTGTATATTGCAACTGGACTTGTAGTTGACATGTCGTAAGTTACTAGATAAGATGTTTTATTGAAGAAAAAAAACGGGACAAAATCAACAGATGAAGTTATAACTGAATATTTCATTCAATTACGTTGATTTAATTATTACTTGCATTGCATTTGAGTTGATTAGTCAGTTATTTGTTTGTCTATCGACGATATCTTCCCCACTGTCTATATAACCAAGAACTACAGTGAAACACAAAAAATGTTATATTCGAGGTTATTACTATACAGCTGTAGTCCATGAATTTAAGCGTTAGGCTAACATTCATAAGATAGCCTGACTGCCCTGGCATCCCACAAATTTCCTCAATTGAGTCTGAACAGGAATGTAAACTTCCTCTATTGGTTGATCGGTTTACTTCATACTTACATACGGACTGACTTGAATTTTGAGGTTACAAAAAACTTTGCACACACTTTGCTTTCTTACTCAAGATTCACACGTTATCTTAATCAAGTTAGTATCCAGTTGTTCACATAGATCTGTTTGAAGAACAAATTATTGTTACTTCATCGCCGAGTTGTTTGTGGATGCATAAATGAGCTATTTTTCAGATTGTACAATGCTTGTTTTATTTTTTGGGATAGTTTGCCGTATTTTCCTTTAAAACATTAATCTTGTTTAACGATGACAATAACAATAATAGCAGTTGTGTTACGTCGTATCAAGAATAATTTGGTGGGACTATAATTTATGGACGACATTTGAGTGACGGTGGGCTGACCTTGAGTGTCCACCTAATAATCAGTACCAAATGAGGGTTGTAAACCTGTGTGATAAATTAGAATTATGGTTTAAAGTTAATGATTAAGGTTAGAAATTAGATTTATGGTTTTTACCACGAGTTGACACCAGCTATAATGCCAAAACTCTATTTAGCTAAATGGATGATTGAATTTCGCGCCAAAATCTGAAACCTGCTATCCTATACGTGATTAGTTCGTCCATAAATTATAGTCTCGCCAATTAATCAAGGTCGAACTTTGGACACGCAGTACACATGACAATAATCTTAATTTGTTAATTCCAATTTTACATAGTTCAAGATAAAATGTAGTTCATTGCTAAATCATGGTACAATTTTAGAACTATAACAAACTACAGTCATATTTTTTTGGGTTGCCTTTTCGATATGAGGGTATTCCTCAGAAACCAATGAAATCGTAGTCACAATAATATAACAGAACAAAAGTAATCTGACTGAATCTCTTTCACATTAGATTTTAGCGAAGTATCACCAAAGCTGCATAGTTTCACAAAACGTTTCCTTCGCTGACCATAAGTCAGATGATGAACTAAATAAAACCTGCGTAGACTTGGATAGTGGTCTTTATTCGATGAAAACCTATGAAATGGATTAGACCCCAGGTAACTTGCAGGTTAAGCCTTCACACTTCTACAGGCTTTACTCTTGACAAGACCACTAAGTAATGTCTCTAGTTCTATAAAAAGAGCAAATCAAAGACTCGTATATTTGCTACGACCAAATGGACAGTGATTACAGCAGGATGATAGTAAAGCAATACCTGCCTAGGCATTTTGAGAGCTAGTACTTTTTAAGCCGGAAAAATAATGAAGTAAAAGCAAACCTAAGGTCTAAAAAGATCGACGACAGCCAATATTGGGGGTGCAAAAAGTAAACCCTCGCTTATTACAAACGTTTTTTTTTAAACAGTCCATTCCGAAGTAATTCTGTATCTGCTTGATCTCAGTAGTGAGGCTATAAACTTCAGCACTATTTATATCAAAAGATTAAGAGATTAAAATAATCTTACCAAGATCATCAACGTTGAATTGTAGGTATTCTGTAGCTTCTATGCCGACGGGCACACTGTGTAAAATATTGTTGTACCTTGGATCAATAATCCGCTATAATAAGAACCAGAATGTACTTTACTAACCCATATGAAATTATTTCTCTCCCTCCAGTTTTATTAGTGAAAGCAAAAGTGATTAACATGTTTATGAACAAAGTCCACAGACCGTGAATTTCAATGTATTTAAGCCTATTATAAACTTGAAAACACTAATGTTCGGGTAAGAAAAAACGAATCATCTTCACGGACCCTTAGTAAAGTTTGGTCCGATGACGAATGGGCACAGTGATATATAACTTATTTACTAAGTGCAGGTTTATGTACACGGAATGTGAACCAGACCTGTATTAGTCGCCAATAGATTGATGTTAACCACTGAACAACGGCCTCATATGAAATACAGTAGCCAGAAAAAGCTTCCAAAACGCAGTGACAATCATCCGCTATTATGATTTCTTCTTACTTAGTAAGAGATATAAGATGTGGTGTTCATGAGTGCTTAGAATTCGAGGTGGAGAAGCATTGACTCATAACTATGAGTCTTGATTGAAATCAAATTGTATGGTAAGAACGTCAACCAACCTATCACAGAAAAACCTATTGGATTAGTTAATAAATGTCATGCTGCTCATAAGTAGCACTATAGTATCCCACACGTGTAAATGATACTACAGTCCTAGTTTCTGGACAATCATATCACCAACTAATGACTAGTAAAGTTAATTCTTACCTTGCCAAACTTAACAGTGATACCTGGTCCAACTGACCCATAATTCATGTGAAAAATTGCCACCGGTACACAACACTCGATATCAAGTACCCAAAAATCCTGCAAAATACTAATAATCAGACGACCTTGTGAAGTACACCTGCTTGTGCATAGCGCTCAATATACAATATTTTGTAGAGTAACATATGTAACGTTTACGTCTAACAGAGAGAGAGAGAGATTTCACTGTCAGATTGAGCGAAAAATTTGCATGTGAGGCGAGCACCTTAAAACACAAATTCATGTTAGTGATAAGTTGCATCGACATAAAAGTGAAGCTAAGACATTTGGCTAAGTGAAACCGAGGTGATATTCTAAGATTTCAAGCTCTTTATCAATATACCACTTGACATTTGTACACTCATGTCTTTTGTTAATAAAAAGCAGCAGAATAACGGTGGTTAATAAACCCAGAAGTAGGTATGCCAATGTCTAACATTATCCCTGAACTTGCTAGTTTGAATAGTCAATACGGGCTGAAAACATTTTTTCAATGGTTGTAATTATCTTTAGACAGCGTAAGTAGGACGCTTTTGTTCTCGATGGTCACTACAATAATCTCACGTACATCATTCTCTCCCTCCTCCCAACCACTGCCACTTCCTCCCGGCTCTTTTTCCGATCACCGTATTTGGAAAGTTCTGACGAAAAAATCACTCGATGTTGTCAGATCGAAAAAACACTTAACAATGTCATCAATTAAACATTTCGAACGCTATAGTCAGTGGCGGTAAACAAATCCACGAAATCAATAGTTCTGTAAGTCTTCGACAATTGGTGCTGGCTGCATTAGCTTTAATGAACTTAACTAGCTAAAGTGCTCAATTATGCATACGCACCAGATAATGAGCGGGTACGCCGTACTACACACCTCCTACAACCGCTAGCCAGATTAAATTAATCACTTCTCGACATAGCTAGCCTATCAAATATGTCTTCGAACCTTTTCGCTTCTGATTTCAGATTTCACTGGTTTGGTATATTTTAGTTGCAAAAAATGTTACTAGTTAAGGCGTCGTCAAACTCCGAATACTTGTGGCATTTTTTAGTGGTGATTTCGACGAGATCTGGCACACTAATTTGTAAACTGTGGATCAGTTCCCGATTCCGGAGTGATACCTGTCCCGAAAAAGAAGTAGTACACGCCATGGATGTTGCAATCCAGGCTTTCTTGCATGACGGAAGAGATAAAGTAAATAAGCGTGGATGGCGATCCAAAGAAAGGATGAGCTAAAAGCACCTCACATGCTTGACTGAATACATATTGCAGTTTTAATATTACATTGTGATCAATTATTGTGCTGTAACGACTTTTTTCTTGTCAGTAAAAAAATTATTTCTTGTCCATCTTGCTTTCAGCTCGCTTCACAATTTTTAACAGATGTAACTGTAAATTTTTTGTCCGCATTATTAACAACATTGTTATTCCGTTGGTACGTCATCGACATTTTACACATTATGACATTTGTTTATAAACTCAAGAACATTTTTATATTTTTGTAGAAAATTGTGAATAGTAGTTCAACGTCTACGTAACGTGCTTACGTTACAAGGCAATAAAGAAAACATGTATAAATCAATGATTTGTAATTTTATAAATCGTAATAAACATTTCAGTCTTTTAATTACAGCAAAAGACCGATTAACATTAAGTATCTTTGGAACTGCGTGTACTGGGTAATTGACTAAAAATAATGGAATATCAGAGCTAAAACTGTAGGTATTCATTCTCGCCTGGCTTGTCCGTGATATCTGTAGAAATTTGTTGAGGAGTATTTCGTTAAAACGAGTTTTCAAAAACTGTAATACGATTACGGTGAAAGTTTTGGGAAAAGCGCAAAAATCAGAGGAAATTTCGGGGGAATATTGGGGAATTTAAGGGTTTTATTGCCGTTTCCCTAAAACTTCCCCAAAGTTTACTATAGTGGATCACTCGAAATTGGGAGATTGGGTATATCGTTTTTTTCAATTTTCATTTTTACGTGTCGTATCAAAAACGTGCCGACTAGCTCCTGAAAGGCTGAGGTAAGCTAAAAACAAATTCCACCATTTGATAAACCTAGTAATCATTCAACCATCAAACAGCCCACGGACATGTCCCCTGCACATGATCCTTGAAAAGGGTAGTAGTGGTTGGTATTCAACTGGTGACTATAGGCGACTAAATCAGAAACTCATTCCTGGTTGTTTACCCGTTGCCTCACATTCAAGTTTCGACAGCTAACTTATAATTTACAACTACTGTGTTGAAATCAATTTGATTAAAATATATAGGCGAAATCCCATGGCTTCAGCCGACATTCCTAAAGCCGCTATCATCACACCTCTCGGACTCTACGAATTCTCGTGTATGCCTTTCTGTTTAGAAAATGCTGCACAAACTTTCCAGAGATTCATCCGTTTGTTTGTAGATGACTACTTGATCGCATGTCCAGACAGAGAATCTCATTCTCCAGCATCTGGATCTTGTTCTCGAACGATTGTGTATTACCCAGAACCATAGCAGTTTTGGAAGGGAACTCCTAGCTATGTATTGTGTTGTGCGGCGCCTTTAGCACTCTGCTGAAGGTTGACAATCCACTCTATTTACTGAGCATAAAAGTCTTACTGCCTCTTTAAGTACATCTTCAGAAAAGTATGTAGGATTGTAGTCTACTATGACATTTGTACTGCGCTAATAATAGACATAATCCTAAAATTGTAGATTAGTCATGATGTAACTGCCTGATCTATAAGATCTTGAGTGAATGCCACATCATTATCTACCTTGACTCATTTGTATTGTAATAATCATCAATATATGATGAACACATTTAGGCTAGAGATAGAACAATATATTAAATATAGATAAAAGACTGTTACATGAGTAAGATAACACCTGCAAAGCTGAACTACGCTATTCGACCAACTCGAACTCATTCAGTTCATTCTTCCTGCCTTCTAGATCTTCGGGTTCTTCCCCGCGTTAAATGTTGAATAACTATTTCCCCAATTGTCCAGTGTTCAGCTTTGAGAATTGTGTGGTTAAGACCCAATGCTACTACAAATTCTCCCCTCGAGAGTCTCCGCTCCTGGACTACATTTGCAGTTCGCCTTAGATACATAACACATTTCTGAAGCAAACAATGTAGATGCAAACGCCTTGTCTCGTGTAACTTCTCCGAACAGTTTCCAGTGACTTGACCTTATTAAACTTCAAAAAGAAGACATTGATCTTCAGTACGAGTTACCTTCAACATCCCCTAAACTGTGCATTAAACAGATGGGAACAGTTAAGGAAACCTCACTACGTAATACATCTACAGGTACGGATCGTCCGGTCGTGCCTAAACATTATTAACGCAACATCTTCACCACGTTGCACAAGCTTTCTCATTCAGGTGTTTGCGCAACAATCAAGCTCACAGCAGAACGATTTCGCTGACCTGGTATGAATAAAGAGAGTGGGCATGCTCCTGTGCAAGTTGCTAGAAATCTAAGGTGATCAGACACAACAAACGTCACTTATGGCCATTCAAAGCTCCCTATGCTCGTTCCGACCATGTTTAACTTGACTTGAAAAAACTCTTGCCAAATTCAAGTGGATATTCTTATCTCTTGACTTATACAGACTGTTTAATACGATGGTCAGAAACAGTTACGTTTCTTTAGGTACCCCTCGTTCTATTGGTAGAAGAAACCAGACTACTAGTGGATAGATTGTTATTTAGACATTCGAGCACGAGGTTACCTGTTCAAACACACAAAGTATTTAAAAATTCATTGTCAGATAATCTGAAACATAATCCCTTTACAAAATACGGAAGTGAACGAATACTTGAGCTCTGTTGTTTTGACACATACTTAGATGTTTGAGGTCAACCCTTAACTAATCAACCTAAGTTGTTAGGATAGTATCTATAAGAGACATTACTGCTGAGGCAGTGGCTTGCAACTTCGTCGAATGGTAGGCAGTAAGCTTTGGCTGCCACTTAAATATCACTACAGACCATGGACGGCTGTTTGAATCTGGGCTTTTCCGTTGTCTGACTACACTATTAGAAATCACTCGCTTCTGAACGACCACCTACCACCCACAGGCAAACGGGTTGGTGGAAGGCTTTCACCGACAGCCTAAGGTTTCACTCTCTGCTGCAAAAGTTTCACAGTGGACTAACTCTCTTCCATTCGTGCTGCTCGGTATTTGCGATTCAATGAGAGCTGACGTTGGATACACTGCAGCTCAAATGGTTTTGGAACGGCACTCCGACTTCCGGGACAATTCGTAGATCCTTCATCTTCAGTAACTATGGATCTGAACACCTGCACGAGCATGCTCACAAACGCAATGTGCTCATTTAAACCTGTTTCCACTCGACCTCAATCAATTGATATTTTCGTCCAACCTGACCTACGATATAGTAGCCATGGTCGATAGCATTCGATCTGCGCTAGTAAGGACTTGACATACATGATATTGGCCACCACCCAGTGATCAATCAATTGTGATTACATCTCAGTCCTACAGGAGATTGATCGCGGCCCGGATAGCTCAGTGGTAACGTTTCTGACTGTGAAGCTGGGTGACACGGGATCGAATCCGCCAGGGAGCACCAGTTCCCTCCCAAGATTACAGGTACACCTCACTGACAAGCGCCAAGTAGCACGAAATTCGGGTCCACGGTTTCCTGTAGACTACCTCCAACCACCATCTATTATAGTAGCCACATTTTTGTATGTTGCGACTCAATGCGACGACCTCTCGAAAGGATATACCAAGGACCCTTCAAAGTACTTCGCCGTAAACCTAAGAACGACATCATCAATAAAAAAAGAGTTAGAAGGAAACCGTATTCATGTCGGTTTTCCTCCGGTACAATCGAAGGACGCGAGTCTCACAAGTGCGATGCTTCACCATAAAATCGAAACCATGACAATATTCGGTAGTATTTGACAACGCGCCGTGGAAGAAAGGCAAGGTTTCTTGAACATTTGAATGAATACTGTACGAATGACACTACACTACACATTGTTTCGTCTCGATTATTTTTTGGTATCGAAAAGAAACAGAAATAAACTTCATTTGATATGCTCATATTTATACTTAACCTGTACTCAAAAAGCAGAAACAGGTTTTTTGTTGCCAA